GATGGGGTCCTCACCGAAGGAGAGGGCCAGTATCTGGGGCGGCACTGGGTGTTGGGGGAGGAGGAGTGAGTGAGTGTGGAAACATTGTGAGGGCAGAACAGATGTATGGGACAGCGGGAGGGGAAAAGGGGAGGTGGAGGAGGACCAAACCACCAAACCATAAGGCAAACCCAAAAGGCACCTGCTACTACACTACAGAGCGCCTGTCGCCGACATCAGCGACAGCTTTCAGCACAACACGCGCTTATCGCAGCGACCAGCCGTACCCTGCACGTTGAGGACCGCCGACTGGCTGTCGGAGCCCGCCTTGTTGGAGGCCCTGCACGTGTACTCGCCGCTGTGGCGCGCCTGCGCGTCCTCCAGGCTCAGCACGCTGATCTTGGCGCCCAGCTTGTTCACCTCGACGCCGTCGCCCGAGTGCACCTCCTGCCCGTTCAAGTACCACGCGATGCTGATGGGCGCGTCGCCCTTCACCACCGTACACTGCACGGCCGCCGTGTCGCCAGAGTTGATGGGGTCGTCGCCGAAAGAGAGGGCCAGGATCTGCGGGGCCACTGTCACCAAACACGACCACAGAGCTCAAAGAGGGGGGAGGGGCGGATGGAAGAAGGCGGTATAGGTTTTAAAAAGGAAAATAAAATAAACAAGACACGTGGAGACCTTCAAACATCAGCAAGTACAGCTCCATCAACACTGCTACTGCATGCAGCCCCCAAGACCTCTATATCCCCGAGTGTACCCTGCACGTTGAGCAGCGCCGTCTGGCTGTCCGCGCCCGCCTTGTTGGAGGCCCTGCACGTGTACTCCCCGCTGTGCTCCGCCTGCACGGACTCGACGCTCAGCGCGCTGATCTTCTGCCCCGTCTTGGTCACCTCCATGCCGCGCCGCCCGGGCACCACCTCCTCGCCGTTGAAGAGCCACGTGATCTTGACGGGGGCGTCGCCCTTCACCACCGTGCACTGGACGGCCGCCGTGTCGCCAGAGTTGATGGGGTCGTCGCCGAAGGTGAGCGCCAGGATCTGGGGCTTGACTGCGAGCACGTGGAGCACGGTTTGTGAGCGCCCGAGCGCGGACCCTGCTCTACCAACGACGCAGCGCCCACCCGACGCGGAACCGACAAGACCGTGTGTAGGTTGGAAGAGTTGGGGAGGTGGGTAAAGGGGTGAGGGGTAACCAAAGTTGGAATGAGCATAAAATACGCCGCATAATCGCACTACGCAAGACAAGGGCTTCTACAGACGGGGATGTACCCAGCACGTCGAGCCTCGAGGACTGCTTGTCCTCGCCGGCGGCGTTCCTCGCCGTGCACGTGTACAGCCCGCCGTGGCGGTAGGCGACCGTCTCCACCGTGAGCGTGCGCACGCGGTTGCCGAGGCGGCCGATCTCGACGCCGTCCCCGGACTGGATCTCGCGACCGTCCTTGCTCCAGCTGATGTTGACGGGCATGTCGCCCTTGATGACGGAGCACTGCACCGCCACCGCGTCCCCGGCGTTGACGGGGTCCTCGCCGAAGGACACCGGGGAGATGACGGGCGGCGCTGCGGGAGGGAGGGACAGCCGGGGGAGTCAGAGGGGCGGGTTACGAGATGGAAACAGGGTTGGGAGAAGGAGAGGGGTAACCAAAAGCAAACGAAAACAAAATGTCTACTGCAGCCATGCCCGGTCCATGCCCGAGACCCTACCCAGCACGTCCAGCCTGGCGGACTGGCTCTCGGCGCCCGCCCTGTTGGAGGCTGTGCACTTGTACGTCCCGCGATGTCGCTCCGCCACCGGCTCAATGGCCAGGGTGCTGATCCGCTGCCCAGCCTTGCTGATGTCCACGCCGTCGTCCCCGTTCGAGATCACCTTCCCGTCCTTGCTCCACGTAATGTTGACGGGCATGTCGCCCTTGACGACCGAGCACTGCACCGCCGCGGCGTCCCCGGCGTTCACGGGGTCGTCGCCAAAGGAGAGCGCGGCCAGAACCGGGGAAACTACACAACAAGGGATAGTCCCGTCTAGTGTCTGCATCGCTTTGCCGTGATAGGCGACGGCAGGCGAGCCGACAGAGCGACGCAATGGAGGGGACGACTAACCGGACGGAAACCACACCTAGCAATAGCAACAGCCGAAGAGACTCTACCAAAACCTAGACCTTAAAAGTAAAATTCGAGGGGCTCTGACACCGGAGAAGGGGCTGGAGGGGTGAAAATAAAGTACGGAAAGGGGAGGGACAGTAAGGGTCTGATAAAGCTTAAGTGAAAGGAGAGGGGGGTAAGGATGGCAAGGTAGGTTGGTATACATAGGAAGTGAGAAGCAATAAACCTGAGCAAACAAAATGGGTCTACAGCAGCTATGTCACGCCCGCCCCAGGCCCCGTCCTACCCAGCACGTCCAGCCTGGCGGACTGGCTCTCGGCACCCGCCCTGTTGGAGGCCGTGCACTTGTACGCGCCACGGTGCCGCTCCGACACCGGCTCGATGGTCAGCGTGCTCACGCGCTGCCCAGCCTTGCTGATGTCCACGCCGTCGTCGCCCGACCTGATCACCCTGCCGTCCTTGCTCCAGGTGATGTTGACCGGCATGTCGCCCTTGACGACGGAGCACTGCACCGCCACAGCGTCCCCGGCGTTGACGGGGTCGTCGCCAAAGGACAATGCGGCCAGGACCGGGGACACTAGACAAGTTTCCGTTTTCAGAGACTCTTCCTTTGCCACCAATCTTTATTTGCGAGAATATCTCCAGTCTTGCTGACCACAATTTTCAAGACAACCACCCAAATAGCACGAAGTCGGGGAGCGGTGAGGGATAGGGAGGGAGAATACAGTAAAGGTGGAGCAGAAGAGAGTGTTCACTGCAACTGCCAACTACAACTGCGTCATCATGTCACAAATAACTACGCAAAGAAACGAAAACAAAAGAAGTAAAGACAAATATACAGTCACGGAACAGTACCCAGCACGTCCAGCTGCGCCGACTGACTCTCGGACCCGGCCTTGTTGCTGGCCCTGCACGTGTACTTTCCGCTGTGCCTCTCGCCGACGGGGTCTATGCTCAGCGTACTGATGCGCTGGCCGAGCTTGCCGATCTGGACGCCGTCACCGGACTGCAGGTCCACGCCATCCTTGCTCCAGCGAATCTCCATGGGCATGTCGCCCTTGGGCACGGAGCACTGCACCGCCGCCGCCTCGCCCGCGTTCACTGGGTCGTCGCCGAACGACAGCGCGGCCACGGCCGGCGCCACTGACATAGGTGGAAGGACCCGTTTTGAGTCGATGGGGTGCAAGGTCAGGGGGGGAACGGTAGGGGACGGGGAGAGCAAACTGTCTACTGGAGAGCGGGCGAAAATAAAAGAACAAAACAAAACATCGCAAACTAACAAGTCGTGCCAGCCCAACAGGGGCGCACCTATCACGTTGAGGACGGCTGTCTGTGAGTCGCGACCCGCCGCGTTGGTCGCCTCACACCGGTACTCGCCGGTGTGCTCCGCGCGGGTCGCGTCGATGGTCAGGTAGCTCATCTTGGCGCCCCGCTTGTCCACCAGGACGCCGCGCTCGGCCTGCTCTTGGCGGTAGGGCCGGCCGTCGATGAACCACGCCAGCGCCACGGGCTGGTCGCCCTTCACCACCATGCACTGCAGCCCCGCCGTGTCGCCCTCGTTGATCGGGTCGTCGCCGAACGACATGGCGGCCAGGAGCGGCGGCACTACAACGACGTTTCCAAACTTCATTGACTGCGACTTCAGCAATTTCGATTTTTGTTCAGCCGCAAGACCGGAACGGAACAAGGGAAGCGACCACGGGGCAACGCCGAGGGAAAAGGGTGTGATGGGGAGAGCGGCAGTTGGGGAGGGAGGGGGATGGAAAAGGGTGTCTACTAGAGTGCGGAATCAGCAAAAAATAACAAAACAATAAAATAAAACAACGCAAAAAAACTAAGAAATCGTGCCACCGAGCTACCCGCAGTGGCCGCACCTATGACGTTGAGGGTGGCCGTCTGGACGTCGCGACCAGCCGCGTTGGTGGCCTCGCACCGGTACTCGCCGGTGTGCTCCGCCCGGGTCGAGTCGATGGTCAGCAAACTCATCTTGGTGCCGCGCTTGTCAACCATCACACCGTTCTCGGCCTGCTCGGGGCGGTACGGCTGCCCGTCGATGAACCACGCCAGGACGACGGGCTGGTCGCCCTTTATCACCATGCACTGCAGCCCCGCCGTGTCTCCCTCGTTGATCGGGTCGTCGCCGAACGACATGGCGGCCACGAGAGGCGGAACTACATGTCAACAACGTTGTTTTAAAACCAAATCTGCTTGCAAATTTTACCCAATCATGTGCTACCTCTAGCTTCTGTATCGTGTGGCGTTCCATAACGACGATGACAAGACGCAGACAAACGACTGCGACGGGCAACGGGAGAAAACGCGGATAGAATATGGGGTTAAGGACGTTAATGGACAGGGTTGGGGGTATCTACGGGAGAACGGGCCCAGCAAAACAACAAAACGCACAAAAAAATAAAAGAACGCAAAAACTAAGAAGTCATGCCACCGAGCTGCTCGTGGTGGCCGCACCTATGACGTTGAGGGTTGCCGTCTGGACGTCGCGACCCGCCGCGTTGGTGGCCTCGCACCGGTACTCGCCGGTGTGCTCCGCCCGGGTCGCGTCGATGCTCAGGAAGCTCATCTTGGCGCCCTGCTTGTTCACCAGCACGCCGCGCTCGGCCTGCTCGGGGCGGTACGGCCGGCCGTCGATGAACCACGCCAGCGCCACGGGCTGGTCGCCCTTCACCACCATGCACTGCAGCCCCGCCGTGTCGCCCTCGTTGATCGGGTCATCGCCGAACGACATGGCGGCCAGGAGTGGCGGCACTACAACGACACATTCACTCCTCACTAACTGCGCCTTTTCTATTGTTTAAAACCTCTTCTTCTCCGTGCTGCTACTGCTGCTGCTGCTTCTGCTTCTGCCGCTGTCACTGTAGTCCTATGCTCACGAAGGACCAAAAGAGAAGCGAGCACCGCGGGGGAAGGGAACGGGGGACGTGAGCGAAATCATAAGAACGCAACTTAATACGTACAAAAACGACCCATACACTAAAACAAAATACAAACGAAAAGACAACAACAACACAAAGTAACAAGCGATAACCAAAATCAGACTAAAGCGTCGTCGAGTCTATAGGATGGGGGGAAAAAGGACCTTTGACGGTCAGCGGCGCGGAGTACGAGGCGGTGGCCGCCGCGTTGCTCGCCACACACGTGTAGTTGCCGACGTGGCGCGGGTCCACGGCCCCGATCATGAGCAGGCTCACGCGCTCGGCCAGCTTCATGACCGTCACGCCCCGGGCCACGGCCGCGTCGGCGCCCGGGAAGGACCAGGTGATGTCGAGCGGCACGTCGCCGCTGGGCACGACGCACTGCAGCTGCGCGATCTGGCCCACCGGCAGCGGCAGCTCGCCGAAGTAGAAGGGGTTGATGGTCGGAGGCTCTGCGGGCGGACGTGTGGCGAGTCACGTGAGCTCGAGGGGTGCGCAAAGGAGGTGTGGGAGCACGGGACGGGGCGGGCGTGGGGGAGGAAGGGAGTGGGCAGGAGGAAACAACAAAAGAGAAAAGAAAAAGGACAACCGAAGAAACAACGCACTAGATTGGAAAACCACAACTACAGCGTAGAGATCGGACGCAGGGAGGGAGGCGAACCATTGACTTGCAGCTCCGCCGTCGAGTTGACGACGCCCGCCGAGTTTCTGGCGATGCACGTGTAATTCCCCCGGTGTTCGGGACCGACGGCGTTGATGGAAAAGAGCACAGACTTGTCCCCGAAGGGAGCAGTCACGATGGCCAGAGCCGTGGACCTAATGTCGCCGCCGTCAAAGTGCCACTCGATCTTTACCGGCTTGTCACCCTTGGGCACGTGGCAGTTGGCCTGGACACTCTCCCCAGCATTTACAGGACCATCGAATTGGAAGGGCGTGATATATGGAGCCACTGGAATTTGGCGCGAACCAGTAAGAGGGCGTGTACCGAGACAAATGCAAAAGACTTTCGGAAGAACCCGACAGACATAAAAACAGGGGCAAACAAAGTTCTAAGGCATGTGACCCTTGGAGATATGTACAGTAATACCTTGGCTGAAATAAATCTAAACAAGGATACAGAGACTTACCTGATTTCATACAAAACCTGAAACTCACAAGACAGGGAGAAAACAAAAAATAGCTCTTTGCAAAATAAAAATGTTTGAAAAAAGGAACAAGGGCAAGTAGGGCACTTAACAGGGTATATACATGACACAATCCTAGGAAGAAAATGTCCTGAAAATTATGTTCAAAATGTTTGAGGCTATTTAAGAAAAAAATAAAAGAGTGACAAACTCTATTCCAGGTTACAGAGAAATGAGAGAAAATCGGAATCGAATCTTGAAAGCCTCAAACATAGGGAACATCAAACAAGTACTCTGAAAACATTAGAACTTTTACATGACACAAACAATAATTTTTCATTTTGATTGGAAAGTATTGCAACCAAATTATTATTTGTGTCATGGTGGAACTCTTTTAACTTACCCATAACTGCAACTTCCAGGTTTCCTTTCACTAAAAATCCTTGTTCATTTTGCACAACACACGTGTATGTCGCTTGATCAGACTGCCTTTCCACATTTTCTATGATCAGTGTGCCATTGGGGAAAACTTTCTGTTTACGATTAATAGGAAGAGTACGGCCATCTGCAAAACAAAAAACAGTGTTGTGTTGTTACACCATGGTATAGTAATTGCAAAGGTAAAGACAAAAGATGAAATAGTTTGAAAATTTGTTCTTACCTCTTTCCCAAGTGATTGATTTAATTGGGTATCCAGCAGCTGGGCAGGTAACAAACAAAGTCTCTCCGGAAACAATTGGGCGCTTATCCATTGGGCGGATGAATGGGACACCATACACGTTGAGCCTTTCAGCATGTTCAACAGATCCAACCTTTGAGGATGCAATGCACTTGTATAGACCACCATCGGCTGTTTGAATTGATGAGATGTTGAGATGAGAAACCACATTGCCATTGCCGTTCATTTTTAAGTATTGCCCAACTTGGATTCTCTCCCTGCTTGTCAGTTTCTTTCCATCAAGCTCCCAAGTAATCTCGGGGGTTGGGTTTCCAGAAGCAACACACATCAGATGGACAGGTGGGCCAGGCTGGAGAGTCTCAGATTGGAAAGCGTGAACGATCAAGGGTGGATCGACTAAAAGAGAAAAATAAAAGATGAGTAAAATAAGATCAATAAAAAGTCTCACAAAAGGTACATCACTTAGGTTTTACTTACATCGACTCCCCAGTTTAAGCTCAGCAATTGCCTGGGCACTCTCTTGGTCATTGCGAACAAAGCATTGATACATTCCCTTGTCTTCCTTCTTGATAGAATCAATCCGCAGTACAGGTCCATCATGATTGAGAGCCTTGCCATCCTTGCTCCATGTAATGGTTCTCACGGGATTGCCTTTGTATACACAGGTGAAGACAGCAGGTCTTCCAAAATCCACAGTTTGGGTTGGAGGGTCAACAGTTGCTGACAAGGGAGCTGAAACACCAGACAAAGATTCCAAAAAATAAAACTCATGCCGAATTTGTAATAAGGTTTCCGAGTAACAAAAAATAAACACCGACCTGTAACGGTAAGGACTGTTTCCACACTTTCTCCTCCGACGGTGTTGTTGACGACGCAGAGGTATTTGCCAGAGTCTGCGACAACCGCTTCCTTGATGATCAGAGTCCCGCTGACCTGCTTGACCCGGTCGTTGAGGGTGACGGCCCGCTTGCGAGTGCTGCCTTCGTCGAACTTGTACCACCTGAAAGCATATCCACATGTTTAAATCCATTCTTGAAGACCCTTTCATGAGAGATCAAATAATGTCATCAAAAGATGTAATACAGCACACGTACTGAGTACTCTAAGCTGGATTTTTTCTTCTGGTTATATGCAAAAAGAAAAAGTCCGGCGTAGAACAGCCACCGCGTGTGTGTTGATAAGATCATCTATCTCTCAATGAAATAGTCAGCGGAAAATATTCTCAAATAATTTCATTGTAAGTTGAAAAATGGAAATAGGGAAATTTTCAAAGGAATGAACAAGGGGATCATTTTATCTTCGGGACTATTGATGCGTGCTGCGCGATTGGTTATGGCTAGGCCACATCGTAAGTGTTACGGAAGGACGCTCTATGGAAGTTGTCCATTTCGTGATGTGCTCGGGCGGATGTGTGAAACGGGAAACGAGTCCGTGCTCACCTGTAGAACGGGACGGGGAAGCCCTGTCCGGGACACAGACCCACAAACGTTTCCCCTTCCTTCACGCCCTTCACTTCAATGCTCTTACTCGTCACGCGCGGAGGGACGTGACCCGTTGGCTCTGCAAACGTGTGATTCCGTCACGACGTGTGACACGCCCGTCACGTGTGCCGAGAGCGTCGTTGGGAAGGACCCCCCGTTGAGCCGACGGCAACCGTTCGCGGTTACCTTTACTTACCGGTACTTACCATAAAACTGACGAATCTCGCACGAGACGGAACTCTATCAATGATTAATAAAAAAATTACCGAGAGGCGGCGCGTGAATCGAGCCCCTCTACAAGGTTACCTGTAGAACGGGACCGGAAAGGCCTGTCCTGGACACAGCAGGGCGACGTCCCGCCCCGAGTCCACGTCCTTGAACTCAATGCCATTCCTTGCAATTTTAGGCCTCATCGTATTGGTGGGCTCTGGAAAGAGTAGGGATTGTCGTCCAGTCCCAGTCCGGGGGAGTCGTTGCCTGAATGACGCCTGATCGGGGTGTCGGGTACGCCTGTGACCGTGTCGCCCGCGTGCCGGTGGTGCTGGTCTACCTTTGCTTGGACGCTGCCCCGTCGCGACGAGCTACGTACCTGGTGTGCGGCACAGGGAAGGCCTGCGCCAGACACAGCAGCGTGGCGTCCCTGCCGGAGCGGAGGGTCTTCTCGTGCAGGCGGCCCTCGGGGACCCGCGGCGCCACGCTACTGGTGGGCTCTGGGGGAGGAGAACGAGGGGGTCGTGGTGGTGGCAAATCTCTGGCTGCTGGGAGGGGGGATATGGAGACCTACGCAGCCGACAGCCACTCGTCGGAAATGCAAGAGCCAGGACGCGAAAGGGATAGTGAGGGAGGGCTGGCAGCTTACCTCTGGAGGCCGCCAACGAGAACGCCACGAACTTACCGGAAACGGGGCACGGGGAAGGCGGTGGCCTGGCAAGGCAGGTACACGTCGGCGCGCTGGGGGGCAAGGAGGATCTCGCCGCCCTCGTACTTCTTACCGGGCGCCTTGGGGGCGATGTTGCTCGTGGGCTCTGTATGGGGCATGCGGCAAACCACGAGCCCTCTTTGAGTAGCAGCCCCGCCGTCGGCCCACAAGAGAACACTCGTCGCGGCCTGAATGTCGGGGGCTTCGGTACCGACCTGTAGCGCGGAACGGGGAAGCCGGGGACCTCGCAGAGAATGACGGCGGTGGCGCCACGGGACACGTCCAGCACCAGGCTGCCGTCGATCCGTCGGCCGCTCAGCCGCGGGGGGATGTTGTTGGTGGGCTCTGTGGGGGCGGGGTGGTGGGGTCAAGGGTCAACAGACTGACCTGAACACTGGGACGGGGTACCCGGCCACGGGGCACAGCAACAGGACCGGCGCGCCGGTGGGGTGGGTCACCAGCCGGCCGCCCTCGTACCGCTCTGCTCCGGAGGACCTGGGCCCGATGTTGCTCGTGGGCTCTGCAAGGGGCGGTGGCAGTGGCAGTGGTGGTAGCGACCGGTGTGTCTGACACACGGGTTGCTCTGAATGCTGGGACGAGTTCCCCCCTTGTGTGTTTAGTGCCCCTGACAGCTGAGGTGTTGGACCAGACCTGAACACGGGGACGGGGGAGGCCTGCGCGGCGCAGACCAGGGAGGCGGTGGCGGCGGCGCGGACCAGCTCACGCTTGGAGCCCACCTTGGTGTCGCTGAGGCGTGGCGCCACGCTGGCCTGGGGCTCTGCAATACAACGCGAGCGGCGCGTCGAACTGAGCGCGGTGCGGAGCCACGCATCTCTGACCTAGACCTCGCTGAGAAAACGTCGCCTGAACGTCTACCCGTCGGGCTCTCCCGTTTTACCTGAACGCCGGCGCCGGGAAGCCCTGCGCGGCGCAGAGCAGCGGCAGGGTGGTGCCCCTCTCCGCCACGCGCAGCATGCCCGTCACGTCCTTGACACTGACCCGCGGCGCCATGCTGGTCTGGGGCTCTGCGGGGACCGCAACAAGGCAGGGGCTGGTGGGTGGGGCCGGGCTGGGCCGGGCACTCCGGCGAGGAGTTGCCTGAATGCTGGGGGGTGGCGACGGCAACCTTACCTCAATCACGGCTTACTGAAGGCCGACACTGAAACCTCGCCTAGAAGAGGTGGAGAGCGCTGTCCACCGGCGCCACTGCACAAAGACTCACCGAAAGCTCGGGACGGGGAAGCCCTGCGCGCTGCACTGCATGAAGGCGTGCCGGCCGCCGGCCACCTCCAGGCGGGCGCCGTTGGAGAACTCGCTCTTAACGCGGGGCTGCACGCTCGTCACCGGCTCTGGACGGGCGAAGGTCAGAGTGAGGGCCACGGACGGGGGGGAGGGGTGCCTGAGCCGGGAGGGAAAAGGGTGCCCGAGCGACGAGGTGGGGGTGGGAGCAGCGGGGCTAACAGGTGAAGCAACATGTTGTAGGGCCCTTGGCCGCCCTCTGCGCTGGGCGCGTGGTGTGTGCCTGTGTGTGTGTATGTGATTGCCTTTCTCCAGGAGGGTTGGCCTGCGCGTCTATGCCGTCTCACTAAACAGTCCTGGGCCGCGCCAGACTAGATCTTGGGCGGCAGCTTTGGGCGGCGGGCTAGCGGTGGGCTCTGTTACAGGCACGAGGCCGTGTCGGGGCGTCGCGGTGTTTAACAAATCGCACGCTCACCTGGTGCCCGGCGCGGGCCAGCCGCGCCCCTCGCAGGCCATGGCCGCCCCGCTGCCGGCCGGCGCCGCCTCGGAGGGCCTCCACACGGCCTGCTGCAGCTTGGCCGGGACGCCACGTCCCACCATCGGGGCCGAGAGCTCTGTGCGGGAGACATGCAGCATGCGAGCGGGTGGTGCGCGAGCTGGCGCGGGGCGGGATAGCGCCTGCGAACCTCGGGGTAGGCCACCCGCCGCCGAGCCGCGCACGGCTGCGTTGCTGCGGCCTACCCCTCAGGCGCTAGGCGCTGCCCTCCCGCCCAGAGGCAAGTCGCGTTGCAGAACGCAGACCTGTTTCGCTAGAGCATGCAATTTTTTAACGCCCTTCCATTTCTGCAGGGACTGCACATTAACATCGATCACTGATAACCATGGAACTTTGGAAAACAAATAGATTTAACTACATTAGTTTCGTGAAACTTGCACTTCAGCATTCTACGTCATCGCATTTCACACGATATTATTTACACAAGTATTTCTCATTATATATTTACACTGTTATGAGATATATTTACACTGTGCAGTATGTACAACCGAAGGGCGTTGTCTGTACTCACCATTCCGTCAGCTCCCACGACTTCCATGAGACGAAAAGAGGTCGGGCAAAAGGAAAATATTGTTTACCTGAAGGCTGGTGCCGGGTAGGACTGAGCGTTGCAGAAGAGGACGAAAGACTCGCCCTCGTGGCTGCGAAAGGACTCGGATGTCCTGGATCCGGCGAACTTGGGTGGGGACGCCCCTATGGGTTCTGACGCGGGAGACGGGGAATGTAAATGAGTGACCGAATAACGCACCTGAAGTGGGGGACGGGGTGCCCCTGCGCCTGGCACAGGATGGCGATGTGGGAGCCCACCGGCTTGCTGAACACCGTGTACCTGGCCGTGGCGGGCACGTTGGGCGCCGCGCCGCTCACGGGCTCTGCAAGGCCGGGGAGGAGACGAGGGTGGAGTTTGAGGTGGCGACCACCTTACCTGAAGTGCGGGATAGGGTGCCCCTGCGCCGGACAAAGCAGCACGGTGGCCACGCCTTCCTCGGTGCTCAGCACCGTGATCTTGGACGTGGCCGTCACTCTGGGGGCGGTGCCGCTGACGGGCTCTGCGGGAGGCACGGCGGGCGAGGTGGTTTACGAGACCCTCACCTGAACGTGGGAGCGGGGTGGGCCTGCGCCTCGCACAGGAGGCTGAACTGCTGGCCAGCCTTGGTCTCGAACGCGTCGGACTTGGCGGACTTGGGGAAGCGCGGCTGCACGGGGCCGACGGGCTCTGCGCGGAACGGGCGGTGAGGAGGAGGTTTAGGAGGGCAGCCCGGGCTGTGTCTGAACGTTGGGAGGAAACGGGGCCCGAAAGGGACTGGACTGGAGGCAGCCTGCCTGTTTCTCTGCGTCTCTCTCTCTCTCCACCCTAAGCTCACCTGAAGGACGGCACGGGGAAGCCCTGTGCTGGGCAGAGGAGCGTGATGGAGGTGCCAGCCGGACGCACGAACGCGCTGCTCTTGTCGTCGGTGGAGAACGTCGGGCCCTTGGTGCCGACCGGCTCTGCGGGGGAGGACACCGTTGAGCGCGCGTCCACCACCGCCCGAGGGTGGGACGTGGACGCGGATATCGCCGCCTGAACGCGGGGGGTGGGGCACCCTGGGGGGAGACCTGCCTGCGCGCTTACCTGAAGGACGGCACCGGGAACCCTTGGGCCGGACAGAGAATGGCGAAGCTCTGGCCCGCCGAGCGCTCGAACGTGCGACTTTTATCGTCCGTCGAGAACTTGGGCGCCTTGCTGCCCACCGGCTCTGCAAAGGGGGAGGCGAACACGTCGCTGACACACTGCACGGAGCGGACCGGCGTGCTTGCTTGCTTGAAGGTCGGGAGTGTCTACACCGGGGACCCCCGCATCGCATCGCGCCACCCCCACCCAGGAGCGAGGAGTAGCCCCTGCCTTACCGGTACATGGGCACGGGGTAGCCCTGCGCGGGGCACAGCAGCGCGAAGCCCTGACCGCGCCGCTTGTCAAACGAAGAGATTTTCGACTCGGTGGAGAAGGATGGCGCCTTCGCTCCGACGGGCTCTGGGGGAGGGGCGGGTTGGGTGAGCGAATGGGGTGATAATGCGGGCCCCTAGAACTGGGACTTAGGGCACCCCTGCGCTGCGTTTGCCGTTGACCCGGACCCCGTGCAGCTTCTTGCGGCGAAGCAGCAGTCTTACCGATACGCTGGCACGGGGAAGGCCTGGGCGGGGCACAGCAGGGCGAAACTCTGGCCTCGGCGTTTCTCGAACGTGAAGCTTTTCGACTCGGTGGAGAAGGAGGGGGCCTTGGCGCCCACGGGCTCTGCAGGAGCGAGCGAGAGGGTTGAGGGGGGCAGCGGGAGGGGCTGTTGGGGCTAGAGTAACCCTGCGCGAGCTGACGTACCGGTAGGAGGGCACGGGGAAGGCCTGCGCGGGGCAGAGCAGCGCAAAGCCCTGGCCGCGGCGCTTCTTGAAGGTGAAGCTGGTCGACTCGGTGGAGAAGGAGGGGGCCTTGGCGCCGACGGGCTCTGAGGGTCATGCGGGCGCGGGCATGGCGGATTAGTTTGTGCGGTATGGGACCTGATAGCTGAGGTGCGGTGCCAGGCGCGAGGGGCGAGAAGGCAAAAAGAACAAGAAGGAGGGGGGGGGAAGCACCAGGCACAAACAAATACATACGTGAGATATGTCTTTTCGGTCGGATTTGGTGAAAGCGGGTCGGGATGTCAATCGCTGCTCACCGATAGCTCGGCACAGGGTAGGCCTG